TGGCGCGGGGCCCCGGCGAGGACGACGCGCCCGAGGAGTGGCTGCTCCTGCACGTGGTCCAGGGCCAGATCGGGGCCGGCAACTACAGCTACCTGCGGCTGAGCCACGAGGGCAAGATCGTGCTGCGCATGCGCAGCCTGCGCGGGGACGCCGACCTCTACGTGTCGGACAGCACGCTGCACCCCAGCTTCGACGACTACGAGCTGCAGTCGGCCACCTGCGGCCCGGACGCGGTCGCCATCCCCGCGCACTTCCGGCGGCCCGTGGGCATCGGCATCTACGGGCACCCGTCCCACGGCGAGAGCGACTTCGAGATGAAGGTGTACCTGGACCGGACCGAGGACCAGCCGCCGGGCCCCGCGGGCGCGGGCGCGCGCGCCCCCGAGGAGCGGCCCGCCGACGAGGACTCGGTCCTCTGGACGGTTCTCATCGGCCTTCTGAAGCTGGTTCTGGAAATCCTCTTCTGAGGCCGGGCGGGGGGCCCCGCGGCACTGAGGCCAGCGCCCTCGGGGGTCACCGCGGTTCCCCGGGAGGCGACCCGCCTTCTTCCCCGGAGGGAAAGGAATGGCCGGGGGCCCGCAGGTCGCCTCCCCGGGCGGCGCCCGCAGCCTGGAGAACTGGGTCCCGGGCCCACACTTGGGGTCCCTTCCACCCCGATAGCCCTGGCTGGCTAGCCGCTAGTTGTAAACGTGTTCCTAGGTCCGTCACAGTTCTGAATCCACCTGAACCAAATTTTAGGCCATCTGCCATTCACCTGGGCCTGCCTAGTAGAAGCCTTTGATTCTTAAACTTTCAGAGTACTTAACAATAGTGGAGAAACACCATCATAGATTATGAAAGATTGGTGACAATAATGGTAACTTTATATGATGAACCGTCATTATTCGTCGTGGAATAAAATGTAGCAAATTAAATCGCATTTTAGTAGAGTTTCTGGAGAAAGTCAAAGCACGGAGTCTAAAGGCCTTTTAGAAAAGGAGCCATTCCTGTACCTGCGCGTGGTTTCAAAGGTAAGAGGAACGTAATGAAACAAATCGACTTGCAGACTTTAAGACCATCGTTGACTTCCGAAAGCTTTTATTGGCATAAAAATGAATATGTAAATAAACTGGTACTAAATATTCCACTTAAGTGCACACACAGCGTTAGGGTAACAGATCTACCCCTCTTTGCTGTTTTTCCCCCTTCTGCCCACCTTCCTGGGTGTTGGGGAGGCTTGCTGACAACAGTCACAGATCCAGCGACCTAGGAGAGAAATTGTTAGTTTTTATTTTCATAGGACCGAGTATCAAACCATCTTAACACCTGTCCCTTACCGGGCATTGGTGACCCTAACCTCTGGGACTTCCAAGTGTGGGGTGATGAGGAGCGCTATTGAGTTCTTTAAACCAGGAAGAAAAATACACCCTTATCGTAACCAGGTAACCAATGTTATGTGAAGTGCCAAGCAAAGGACAAGGATGCTGGAGGATGCAGTTACTGTAATCCTTCCTGAAATTAAATGAAATGACTACCATAATTTAGAAGCCCAATACAAAGCCTGTTACGGAACATGGCTTTTCTCCACTGCTAAACCAGCTGTATACTGACAGAACTTTAAAACAAGCACAACCTGATCTGAGTTACACAGAATTTTCATTTGCTTCTACAAAACAATTCTAAGCATGTAATTTAGAGAATTACATAGTATCAACTATGCAAGTAAGTTCTAAAAGTACAATTACCTGTGTAACATTCTAGTTCAGAAGGGTGGTTTGCTTTGATTCTAATGTCCATTCTAAAGTTATCTGGATTGTCATGCTGCCTCATAGAAATACATTCTGACATGGGAAAAGATGTAGCAGTCACTTCTAAATAGATGACATGCAAAATTAAAAGCACTGAAGCAACTCGTACTATAACTACATAAAGTATAAAGACACCAGCCCATATATACATGGAACTATACTTGTAAATCTAGCCTTGGTGTTTCTTCATCTTGCCTGTCCTTAGATGCACTGACAGAGATGAAAAGATGGACAGATGCCTGTACAGAAGGGGCTATAAACCGTGTGTTTATGTCATGGATGCAGTCTTAAATGTTGAGAGCCTCCTCACACAAATAAAATGTGTTGTTTTTTTATAGAATCTTTACCTGATGGAATAGCACCAAGGCCCACACAAAAAGTATGATAACCTCTGTCACACACATCACAGAACATCATTTCTTCTTCATGGTGGGGCTGTCCACATATAATGCATGTCTTACATTCCATACACTGCCATGGGTAGGTCTTAATCATAGAAACAAGCTCCATGGTCATATCCAAGCAAGAAGGATGGCCTAAATCAAAACCAACATTAGTAGTCTTTCACAAGAGAACTTTTAATAAGGCATATCAAATACTGGCTTTCTTTAGGACTTCCCAAGAATGGCTAGAATGCTTAATAACCAAAGAAATCAAAATACAGTGTAGAATACATGGGCTTTACACAAGTTGCCCTATACATTTGCTGATTCTTTGCAGAGCCTAGCTGACAATGATAAATCCTAGTTTTTGAAGCAACAGACAGGGTGGGTTAAAATCTGAAGGAGACATCTCTGTACTTACCACTGTTCTCACACTGGGAGCAGTGTATAAGTGATTCAGCCTTTCCTTTCTTGTTGGACTCCTTACCCTTCAGACAAATTCCACATAGAGCATTTGGAATGACCTTTGGCTGGAAGGGTAGAAGAGGGCTATAAATTCATGCCAGAAGAGCTTACTATGGGTTCAAAAGGAATTCTGTTACTGGTCACCTTATCTTTACTTTTGGTAACTTGCTAATGAAGACCTTTGTGAAAGACATATAACTTGGCATGAGTCAGCTTACAGCATAAAAGGGCCAACTGAGGAAAGCCTTAGATTTCATCTAGTAAACAACATGACCTCGTGTTATGATTAAATGTAGAACTCTACTCACTACATGCACAGTTCAGATCTGTATAAAACAATATGGAAAACAATTAGTGTTAAAGGTCACTATTCTATTCTTCACCAAGAGAAAACCCAAGTACCAAATGTAAAGTTGAAACTCAGTTTTAAGCAGCTTATATATTAACTTTCCTTAAAAACTGGTGTTTTTCCAAGGGTGTAAAACTAGACTTGTAAAATCCAAGCTTAAAAACAATGTTTTAACACCTTTAAGTGAAAATGTTTCATTCAAATGCATGTGTGGAAAACTGAGTTGCATTACTGTCACTGCCTACCTAGCAAATTAGAAGAAACACTAAAGGACAAAAACATCCACTATAATATAAAACATTATAAAAAGGAAAAGGTAGTTTTCATTTTCAGATAAGGAAAAAAACTAGTCACAAAAATACATAAAGCACTCATATATTCTGCATGTCAGCCTTCCAGTTTAAGAAGAACATACACAGCACTGGGGCCTTGAACACACTTGGCAACTATGTGGAAAAGGACAAAGTAAAAGGCTGTTTATACCTCAACTACCAGGGGGACAGGGCCAGCGTAAGCTTGTCGCAACCTTGACTACAAAGTGAGGCTCACACATGCTACAAGTATGCCTATCACCTGATAGGGAAGGGAAGAAAACAAGTAGGATGAGATGGGGTAGAGAAATATAAAGTGAGCTTGGAGAGAGGTGATTCTAAGTACACTTAGCCATGTGCATCTGATACTACACCAGAGAGGGATCTAAAACTCAAGCTGCAGAAAAGCATTCTAGCTCTAAAATGTCTCCTTAACCTTCATAACCTGTTTGACCTAAAGAATTTGTTCTTATTTTCTTTTTTAATTTTTCTTTGCAAAAGATGACAGAGGCATTCAAAAACAATTTTGGCTTATTTATTTTTTTTAAAAAGTCAACCTTATACATAAATATGATAAAAACAAACAATCACAAATGTACTCTACAAAATAATAAATATCATGGAAATTAAACAAACATATAAATGTCACCATTAACTATTCTACATCTCCTATGTATGTTTATACCCTGCTCCCCAATTTTCTCAAGCCTAAAATTACCTCTGCTGTTACTTGCTACCCTAAACACAATTCTGACTGTGTTTTCCTCCGTGGCACTAAAACATCACTAGGAAGGGCACTTCTGTGATCCACATTCTGGCTCAGTTAGTACCAAATCTGTAACTGTCATAATAAACAGCAGAATAATGCTACCTTCTCAATCCACAAGAACTAAGAAATCTCTTTGGGTTACAGTACCTGTGCTAAATGTAAAAGATATTAGTAGTTTAAGTCAGGTCCTGGCCTATGCCAGTACTAAGTACTATACCTTTCACCACAGTCAGAGAAGTAACTACACAATATTAAATCCTAAAAAGAGACCCTTCACAAAGCAAAACCCAAGAGAAATAAAACAAAGCTAGTTACCACATATTCAAGTTCTACAATTAAAATATACACAAATGTCTATGATAAAAAGGACACTAAGAAATTCTAGGTTTACTTTTAAGCTCAGATCACAATGTTTTTTCTAAACCATTTAAAATTTTTCTTACCCAAAAGTCTTCATCTTGTTGAAAAGAGGAAAAGATGGAAGAGAAGCATCAGGAGAGAAAGGAAGAGAAGAAGAAATGAGGAAGAGAGAAATAAGGAGAAATGGAGAGGGGGAAGAAGACATGGAGAAGGGAAGAGGTAGAAGGATAGAAACAGAATGGGAAAAGACAGATGAAGAGAAGTGAGATGGAGGAAAGAAAGGATGAGATGGAGAAGTGGGAAAGACAGAAATAGACACATAGGTAGAAATAAGAGGAACAGGAGAGAAAAGGGGAAAGAACATCCAAGCATTGTCTACAATGATACATTTCAACAGACGGAAGCATGTTGCTTAGTATCTGAGCTACCCAGGGAGCCACAGAGCAACAGTTAAGAGGGAGGAAGCTTCCACCTTCCCATGGGTTTGCGGAGGGGTGGGCGGAGGATGCCTAAGATCAGAACAGAGCCCTCAGTTCTACTTGCAACAATACCAGAGTTTCACTGATGACAAGAAGACTAAAATGACCATTCTAACAGTCCACAATATCGCAAATAAAAGGCCCATTAGTACACTTAACTTCTTCTTGAAAGAGAGCCAAAGGTAAGTGAGACTTTCATGGTAACAGTAATATAGTACGGATTTTAAATACATATTTATAGGCCTGAATCTTAGCTATTATTGTTTAATATCAGGTTAATGTAACCTAAACGATTCTGTCCTACAAATTAAGGGCAAGTGCTATTCAATCTTATTAAGCAAGACAGCAGATACATTATCATTTTTCTTATTTGCCATATTTTAAAACATGTATGTTTGTGTCCATGTGTACATATGAGCTTCAGCTTGAAGTACCCAAATATTTAGGCACATCTTGGCTTATTATACTATTTATAGAGAGGATAACGTTCAATAATCATGTTCATATTAATATATAATGTCTAGATACTGGCTGCTCCCATCTCTGAAATACCTGAAACATTTTTAGGTACTAAAAATGTTCACAGGGGATATAAAATGCTTATTTTGCATATTACACTCCTTTGAGTACTATTAGGCTAATCTATATGATTTATTAAATCAATGATAATGTGGACAGTTTTTCATGTTCAGCCTGTATTAAAACATCCACCTCCATATTCTTTATTTTTTAATCCATGATCAAACAAGCCAGCAGCACTGGGGAGCTGACAAGCTTTGGCATAAAGCCACAGCCTCCACTTGGAGCTCCTAGATCACGCACACTGTCTCTGAAACTTAATCTTTGGAGTTCATTTGCTTTTGATTACTAAGTATTAACTTAAATCTTTAGTTTAAGAAACTTAGTAAATGTGAAAAAGCCACATCCGCCGAGCCCACCAAAGCCACTCCAGAAAGCAATCTCTGAATGAAGCCTAACCTGTTACCATGGGCTGCAAAGAACATGTGTTTTTAAATTGATTACATACAGATACTTTCTAACAAGATATGGAACATTCTTAGTTTTTCGTTTTTAACTTCAGGAAGAAAAGAAGATGATAGAGTTCTGATTACTAGAAGGCGCTCAGGTGGGGTGAAGGGACAGTTGTTAGTTAACAGCTCACTTAAGCTTGTTGTTGTGTTGGTTTGGAATTTTCTTGGGGGGTGGGAAGTACCAGCATCCAACCCTGAGCTCTTACAGGCTAGACAGCCAGCCTGTCTTGTGGGTCACCCACCACAGTGACAACACTGACACACTTCCACACGGCAACATTTTCTCATCCCCTTAAAACCTTCCTTAATCATACCTTCAGTCACGCTAGAAATCATATTCTACTACTTTCCAGACAAAAAGAACTACATATTGTACTGTCACCAGCCAAACCAGTAAACTGCAGGAATTCTGTTCCTTCTGTGAGATTCTTACATCCCCACACAACAACACAGCTCCCCAGCCTCTGAAAGGGGAAGAGCAGACAGGAGATAGCTGCAGACCACCTACCACCTCACAGACAGTACTCAGACCCCAAAGCCAGATATGCTCCAGCCTTCAACACAGACAGATGCCAGATATCTGCCAACACTACAATGGAAATAAACAGGTTTCATACTTTCTACCCATAGTTAGCTGAATGTGGCAGATTGATAAAGCAATCATCAGGCTAATCCTAATGAAAAACACTACTGAAATTCAACTTAGTAACAGTACATCTACCCCTTCTTTACAACTCAGTAGGTCTTGTTCCACCAACTACTAGGATATTTAAATGATATTTATTCAAAAAGTCTCAAGTTCTGCCTTGAAATGTTTTAAAATACTCAAACTTGCCTGGCTATTATTGAAGAGAGGGGGAAAAAAAGATCCATAAATTGTACATTTACAGAAAACAGTAGCTGAACCTTAGCCAAAAGTGACAGGAAAGCCACCAGGGAAGTAAAAGCAAAAAGGAAGCAGTGGACAGGTGCACACCACAGGACAGCAAGTGAGGTACAGCAAGCAGAAGCTCCACAGTCGTGAGGTTCAGAGTTAACGTGTGTCAGGGAGAGAGGCTGGTCAGTAAGGAAGCTGAGTCAGGGGCTTTTTTCTTCTACCTTGTACCCAGGAACTGATTTGGACAGTACAGAGCGTTTGGCACCCTCTTTTCGTGGAGTGGCAGCTTTGTCTTTCGACGTGGGTCTTCCTGGGAAGGAGTCCTCCTGGCTGTCAGGAGGGCTGTCCCCTTCAGACGCGTTGCCCGAGGAGCTGTCCTACAGCACAAGAGGCAGGAAGCAGGTTCTTTAGAACTGACACACACTTGACTCAAGTTTTCACAACTGAAGAAGACATTTGGTGAAAGTTTGTTTCTTTGAAAATTGTAACTATTAGCTGGGCACTGCTGGCTCAAGCCTGTAATCCTAGCTACTCAGGAAGCTGAGATCTGAGGATTGCAGTTCAAAGCCGGCCCGGGATTGCAGTTCAAAGCCGGCCCGGGCAGGAAACTCCGTGAAACTCTTATCTCCAATAAACCACCAGAAAACCAGAAGTGGGGCTGTAGCTCAAGTGGTAGGGCGCTAGCCTTGAGCTGAAGAGCTGAGGGACAGTGCCCAGGCCCAGAGTTCAAGGCCCACGACCAACAAAAAAATAAATAACTATTATAACAAATATTATTAAATTCTAAGTTATTAAACCTAATTGTAAACAATTTGTAACTTTTGTTTCAAGTGGAAATTAAAATAAGGAACAGTACAAGTTACTTATTAAGCCAGCTCCATTTGTATCAATAAATGCCATGAGCTGTTCTAACACTTAAGTCAACAAGAAAGGAACTGTCAACTTCAGCTCCTATCATACCCCAAAGATCAGCCACCAACGTTGTCCTTCTCCCTCAACACGCAGAGCACAACAAAGTGTATTGGTTTTCTATTATCACTACAAGTAAATGAACATTTTCACTAATAATGAAAATCGTTCACATACACGTTTATGTTAAAACTATGCAGAACCATATCCCCAATTAACAGCATCTGACTTAATTTTACCAGTTCAACATCTACGACCTCAACATCTCTTTCGTTCGATTTGTAATTTTCTAATGTGAACAGCAATATATTCTTAAAAATTAGAAAAACTGTAAAAGTAAAATTAAACTATATTCATTAATTTATGATGTGAAAAACAATATATTCTTAAGTATTAGAAAATCTGTAAACTATTGCTGCTTCATAAACACCATCAGCACCAACAACACTAGGTGTTGGACTTGCCTCTGACCCTCCTTTATATTCTGCAGATGCCCAAGATCTCTCTCATACTCCCAACCTAATAAATGCACACTCATTTTCCAAAACACAAAACTGGACTACACTGTGTGCATTTTCTCCAATCATTAACTATTCCTTGAACTTTCTACTGTGTAAATGTTAGCATATGACTACTCTGGGTGAGATTTCTAATTTCCATTAGGAAAAAAACTTTCTTTTGGTCGGTCATGGGGCCTGAACTCTGGGGCCTGGGCGCTGTCCCTGCACTCTTCAGCTCAAGGCTAGCGCTCTACCACTTGAGCCACAGCGTCACTTCTGGCTTTTTCTGCTTATGTGGTGCTGCGGAATCAAACCCAGGGCCTCGTGCATGCAAGGCAAACACTCCACCATTGAGCCACCTTCCCAGCCCCTCCACTAGAAAAAATATTGATGGGGCTGGGAATATGGCTTATGGTGGAGTGCTTGCCTAGCATGCACGAAGCCCTGGGTTCAATTCCTCAGTACCACATAAACAAAAAAAGCCGAAAGTGGTGCTGTGGCTCAAGTGGTAGATTGCTAGCCTTGAGCAAAAGAAGCTCAAGGACAGTGCCCAGGCCCTGAGGTTAAGCTCCAGGACTGGCAAAAAAACAAACAAAAATTGTTAACACTCAACCTTTTTTTTCTAATTCAATTTTCCCAGAATCGGATTAAGTCATCGGGATAAATAATCTTGAAAATTTGGTAGGTCAGATTCTGTGAAGTTAAAAGTTCTTGATGTGCTGTCAAAACGACTTCTCTGTTGAATTAACTTACTCCTCTGAGTAGTGTGAGGGCGGCCTGTTGCCTAGCCTCACAGCTCCACTGCTATCAACCAACTAGACATGATTACCACCTCTGGCCTTCAACAATACTTTACCAAACATGCCTAAGTGAGAAGTCTTTGATAGCAGCACTAAATGAGGGTATATTTTCAGGTTCCAGTTAACTATGATGTGAATTTTAAGATGGGTAGCTAGCTAGTTAATACTGTTTTGTTTTTTATGGGTAGCTAGCTAGTTAATACTGTTTTGTTTTTTAACTCAGAGCCTGAACACCGTTGTTCCTGAGCCATTTTTGCCCAAGGATAGCACTCTGCACTCTACCACTTTGATCCAGAGCCACATCCAGTTTTCTGGTGGTTAAAAGGAAGTAGAAGTTTCACAGACTTTCCTTCCTGGGCTAGCTTTGATCCAATATCCTCAGATCTCAGCCTCCTGAGTAGCTGGGATTACAGGTGTGAGCCACCAGCACCTGGCTGGTCAGAGCACAAAACAGGACTGCCTTTCTCCTTCATACTGACTTTCCATGATCTTCAACAGCATTTTGCTATGGAAAAGTTATGCAGAAAAAAAGTTATCATATATATATATATATAGTATATGTATGTATACGTATGTCTATACGTACATATATATGTAATACTATGAACATATATGCCTTCAAACTAAGAAAAACACATTTCTCTCTACAGCAAAAGACAAAAGTCAGTCTTTTTCAATACTTTAAGCTGTATACACATGTAGACAGTAAACTAATGTTCAGTGCCCTTGCCTATTTTGTTTTACTACAGAGTAACTTTTTCTTTATTTTTGTATGCTGGTCCTGAGGTTTGAACTTAGGGCCTAGGAGCTATCACTGAGCTTTTCTGCTCAAGGGTAGAGCTCTACCATTTTAGCCACAACTGTACTTCTTGTTTTGTGCTGCTTAACTAGAAATAAAGAGTCTCACACTATCCTGCCCAGTTGGCTTTGAACTACAATTCTCAGATCTCAGCCTCCTGAGGTAGCTAGGATTACAGGCATGAACCATCTCCTGACGTACAAGTTAAGCTGTGAAGTCAAGAAAATAAGACTCCTGAGTCTTCTACTAATCCAGGGCCTGAACTTTTTGCTCATTAACTAGAGATAAGAGTCTCACAAGCAGGGAGCTTCCGGCTCACTCCTGTAATCTTAGCTACTCAGGAGGCTGAGATCTGAGGATTGCAGTTCAAAGCCAGCCCCAGCAAGAAAGTCCGAGACTCTTATATCCAATAAACCACTCAGAAAATTGGAAGTGGTGCTGTAGCTCAAGTACAGTGCTGGCCTTGAGCTAAAGAGCTGAGGGACAGCGCCCAGGCCCAGAGTTCAAGCCCCACGACTGACCAAGAAAAAAAAAGTCTCACAGACTTTCTGGCCTAGACTGGTTTTGAACAGTGGTCCTCAGATCTCAGCCTCTTGATAGCTACTCATATGCTTAAGAGCTAGGATTATAGATCTGAGCACCTGGAAACCAGCAACAATGATTTTAATAGAAAATCTACCAAAGGCCATAAAGAGCCTGACTGTAAGTGTATTTTCTACAAAGCTTCCTGGGAATTATATGAGCTGTACTTTGCAAAGTGTGGTAACACAGTGTAATTTCACACCCTAGGAAAGCAATCAACAAGCAAGGAGAGGGAACAGATTATTTCTTGTGAAAGATAAATATTCCTACCGAAGTGCCTCTGTTTTTCCTCTTCTCATCACCTCGACCATCTTCAGCATCATCAGAGTCCCCATCACTGTCTAGTGCAGGGAGCTCGGGATCCAGGGGGGGCTCATACAGGGCTGTGTTTAATGGCAAATACCGGAGCTCATCTGGAGAATACCTGAATTAAGAGATTACCGTCACTTATCCTTATTATTAAATATGCAAAAAGAGTCTAGACTTCTCCCAAATACTTTTGAAAAGTGAGTATGTGTACATGTATATGTGTATTGGGGCAGCTTTATTAGGGACTGAATTCTAGGGACTTGAGCCTAGTTCTTTTGCCTTTAGTTTGTTTTTCCAAAAATGGTATCACCCCTTTGTCTAGGCTAGCCTCAGATCATTCTTTTACCTCCACCTCCCAACTACATGGGATTAGTTACGTGCCACCAACACAAAGGCTTTGATTTGAGATAGAGTATCTGCTAATTTCTGCCCAGGCTGGCCTCAACCCATGACCTTCCTGTCTCTGCTTTGGGTATCTAAGACTACAGGCATGTGTGCTCACCAGGCTTAGCGATAACTTTTCATTCTAGTCATCAAGTAAGGATAGTTAAGTCAAAGAGTTTCAATGTTTTTTTTCACTAACTGATGTAGAATACATATCTGAATCTTCTCATCAAAAGATAATGTCTCAGCTGGGTGGTAACACGTGCCTATAATCCCAACACCTGAGAGACTAAGGCAAGCGGAGCTCGAGTTCAAGGCCAGCCTAGGCTATATCACAGCAAGACTGACTCAAAACACAAAAGCAGAAAGAGGTAATGTTTCTTCCCTTTACCCTCAAACCAAGAAAGGTTCTCCCAACAGACACTGGTGAACACACAGTAAGAAAACGATAGACAAACGCGAGGCTTAGGCTCTCTGCTGGCTCCCATAACCATCAAGGAGCCATTTCTTTGTGCTCGCCCCTCCGCTTGTAAACCTGGAGTAGTCACAGTGCACCTCAGAGCTGATGGGAGGATTACGTACTCCATGCACATGCACTACCATCAAGCATGACGGACACGGGTACACAAGTATTTCATTCTTATTATAAACCATTTGTGAAGCATGCTCTAACACTGAATTATGTTGCCATCTGAAGCGAGGCTGACAGTTCTTCCCCAGGTCCGAAGGTACAGGCCAGCAGGCCGTGTGGGAGGAGGGCCCTACCCCACGCTCAGGAGAACTGGAGCTCAGGGAGGCTCTGGGGCCAGCATTGCCTTCAACCAAGGTTCACACCAAAAGGCAACGCAGAGTAGAGCGGCATACAACTTTTAATGTTCTGGCCAACCAAAAGAAAAAAAATGAAAACTTCTGCCCATGACTTAAATTGACTTTCAAATAGTAAGTATGAGTCTATATTCCATTTTAAATTCTATTCTCTAAATAAAATGTCTATTTCAAGAATATGCCTCTCCAGGTTAAGGTTTGAAGCTGAAGGAGGAAGAAGCTATTGAAATGAGAGAAATCCATTTGTCCTGTTTGAGTGTTTTGTCTGGCTTTGTTCTGGCCACCTTCAAATAGCAGAGGTGGGCATGCAGACTGAGGGAGAGCCAGGACAGGGGTAATGTGGGAGGCACCAGGATCCACGGAGCCTCTCAGGCAGTCAGCACATCGCAATCTCTACTGCATAGCCAATTATGAGCATCATTGAAACCCAGACTCCAATTAGTGAGTCTGAGGAGTCAAGTGTTACCAGTGTTGCTGTGGGTCTATGTGTGACAAACCCAAGAGATGGGCAGACATGGACACTCAAGCTTCATGAGCAAGCAAGGCACTCGTGTCTTGGCTGAAAGGTAAGCTTTGCCACGAAACCCAAGGAGAAGATTCCACATATCATCAGCCTCACCAATAAACCCAACTGGCTCCCATATCAATGGTAATTGAAACAACTAAATACCTCTTGTAATACTCCTGGAACTGTCCTGGGATGAGTGCCACGGGGTAAGAACTGACCTTTGTTCGCTCTGTCGGCAAGACTTTGTACTTCCCTTGAGGCACCTGGATGACCTGTGTTTATAGGAAGAAAGACATGAACGGATTCCATACTAGGAACTTAAAAACTGTGGCATATATCTCCCCACCCCCCAAAGAGCTAGAAGTCAAGTGACTCTGAAAATTGTAACCTAAGGGACAGGTGGGGAACTCCAGGTATACATAAGATGGTTTTTCCATCATGTGTGACTTGTGCACCACAAGCCATTTCTGAGAACAAGTGGCAGATCTCTGGCTCATAGGTAACAGCAGTGTGACCTGGGTGTCTTAGGAACCTCTTGGAACTCAACCTCCTGCCCTATGAAAGGAAGTAGTAGTAGTCAAACTTCATGTGAGTCCTGTGAGAATGGAATGAACTTGGGAGTTGACTCACAACCATCTTTGGGAAACATCGTATTAGTCTCCACTCAGCTAAGGATCAACTACAAAGCAAAAGAGACCTCCTCACAAAACAAACCCCTAATATTATCATTATTTCTTTAAACTTCTAGGAAAAAGAGAGCTGGCACCAATTCTCTCTCTCTTTCACATACACACATATATGTGCAAGGGCATGTATATATATGAATGTGTGTGTATATATATATATATATGTGTGTGTGTGTGTATGTGTGTGTGTGTATGTATCAAAACCAAATAAAGGGAATAGAAGGAATGCAGAGAACTGCAATAAGAGGTAGAAACGAAGCCCAGATACTGCTGAATTAAGTCACCCTACATGTGTCTGTAAGTCAAAATAAGCTCTTCTTTCTTCCATGCGTTCCCGGTTTAAGTTGCTGTTGAATTCAGCTGCTTTTTTTGCAGCTTTTTTAATATACTCGGGCACTTTGCTGGCTTCAACTTTTTGAGTATTTTGTTGTTGCATTTGCTGAAACAAAAATATAACAGTTGGAGTCCCATAGCTTTATAAAATGTCGGTCTCATAAACTCCTGGAAAGATTCAAATCACTTCATTACTTACAGAATATTCTTTATAGTGATCTGTAATTCGCTGGCGTTCTTTTTCTTGTAGAATAACAGAATATTCAGCATGTTTGGCTGGATATTCTTTTATCATTAAATCAATCACTTCATCACTACGCAATGCTGTTAAACCTATTTTAGACCCAAAAAAAGAAAAAAAATAAGCAAAACCACATTTCATAATTAATCTCCCTTACAAACAACTCTTGTTAAAATATTTTACAAGCCAGGCACCAGTGGCTCACACCTGTAATCCTAGCTACTCAGGAGGCTGAGATTTGAGGATCACAGTTCGAAGCCAGCCTGAGCAAAAACTATTTGAGCACAAAAAGACTCAGCAACAGCACCCAGGCCCTGAGTTCAACCCCAGGACTAGCCAAAAAAAAAAGTTTTACAATGGCCAAAACAAAATATTTTAATACATCTTAAATTAAGTTCAAATGGTAGCCTTGAGCAAAAGAAACTGAGGAACAAGGACTAGGCTCTGAGCACAAGTCCCAGGACCAGCACACACAAAAAAGATTATATTCTAATACAAGCTTCATTCTCCTTTTCATTTTAACAGTTATCAAAAATGAAGTAATTTAGCACTTAAGTAGTTAATTTTGTAAAATATTTTATAGGAAAGGAGATATCTAATATCGTGTATAAATAAATGTTGAAAGTCACAATGAAAACATTATTACCTAGAGTGCACTGAGTTTCTGTAATGACATTTAGCTCTCTTAGGTACAGTTTCTCCTTATGAGACAAATCTCGTCGCTCTAAATCTCCAAAGAAGAACAAAACACACAATAAAAAATAGTGAAACATGATGTAGTTTATAAAACCTTTTTAAACACTTAAAAAATGATTTTAAAAAGTGCTTTTATATTGCAAGTATTACTAAGGGAACTTTATAAACAATCTTATGTTAGCAGAATAAAAGTTAAAACGAAAATAGAATAAAGTAACAAATAAAACTGCTGAAAAAGTTTTATCAGTATTAACCTTTCTTAAATTCAGATATGGCTTGCTGTTAACTCCTGAGTTAAGGAGGCAGGGGTCAAGAACAGTAATAGTGGCTGTAAAGTGATATTTCTTTCCCCTAAAGCTTCTTCCAGGAAACTCATCCTTTTCTGTCTTTAAATTTATTGCTAAGACATAAAATATATCCAGAGTGGAGAGAGATATAGATGATTGTAGCAAGTTTAGATCAGCAAGCACAAATCTATTATAAATAATTAATAACCAAGAATTTGGAGTCAACGTTCTACAATTAGAAGCTAGATGTAATGCATTACATAACTCAGTCTTAAGTACCTGGATACTTCCGTTTAAAGGAGGTCACACCCAAATATTCACTGACTTGTTCTTGAAGCATATAGTATTCTCCTGTTTCATCAGGTGGCCATTTGTACTCTATCAAATTTTCTGCTGGATAGTAACTAAAGCTAAGCACAGAAATACATATTATACCTAAATGTGGCTTTTATTAAGTTTTAATTATGTTTATTTTTGAGGATATTTTGAAAACTTTTCAGTATTTAAAGGATTATAAAACAGGTGGAAGGTAGAGACATCAAACAAGACATTGCAAACATTTTCTGTACGCTACAAAGAACCAAGACTCACAACTGCTGGGAACAAATGTATTTTCAGTTTAAAGGACCAAAGAGAGCCAGTGACACCAGCTCTGAAAGGTGTATTATCAGCAACTTCAGTTTCTTGTCTGCTGCTCAGTGAGTCATGAACAGACCAGAAAGTAAAACTCTAGAAACTTCTTTCTCAATGGACTGAGATGATATGTGTGTGTGTATATTTGCATTTATATACATATAAATACTAGTTATATGAGTACACTTCTATAACTATTTACTCTCTATACACTTCCTGAAACCAGGAGGGAAGGACAGAACTAGTTTTGACACTTCTGGTGCAACATTCAGTCACAATCCTGACAAAGAATACATAGTCAAGATCTGGACCAATTTGACCTGTACCTTAAAAAGTGGAAAGTGGGACTGGGAATGTGGCTTAGTACTAGAGCGCTTGCCTGGCATGCATGAAGCCCTGAGTTTGATTCCTCAATACCCCACAAACAGAAAAAGCTGGAAGTGGCACTGTGGCTCAGTGGTAGAGCACTAGCCTTGAGCAAAAAGCAGCTCAGGGACAGTGCCCAGGCCCTGAGTTCAAGCCCCGGGACTGGAAGAGGAAGGGTGATGAAACGGGGAGTGAAAAAGAAAACAAATAGATGAAGTGCTTGAAAGAACACTGTCAGTAGTGAAAAGGCCATCGATAGGCTGGGGGAAAATGTTTATAAATCATGTATCTCATAAAGAAATAATATATACAGAACTCATAACAAAATGAAGTAAAAAATAAGCAAATAATTAGAAAAGCCATTTCTCCAAAGATACAAGTGGCCTTATGAAAAGCCTGACTCATGTCACTAGGCATTACAGAAGTGCACATCAAAAGCATAGTAAGACCACTATGGCCATTATTAAAACATTCTCAAAAGTTGCAACTTTTTGAGCATAGCTGGTAGGAATGTAAAATGACAGATGTTGTGGAAAAGTTTAGGAGTTCCTCCAAAAACTAAATCCCAGCTATTTAGAAAGTAGGAACAAGGTCAAAGGCCAGCCCAGGGCACAAGCAAAATGACCCTCTCGGGTAAAAAAAAAACAAAAAAACACCCAACCCATAAACTAAAGGAGTGGGAACATGGCTCAAGCAGTAGAGGACCCTGCCTAGCAAACACAGGGCCCTGTGTTCAATCCTCAGTATCCCAGGGGCCAAAACAAAGAATTAGTGTATAACTCTATTTCTATCACACACCCCTAGTCTGCAAGTGCTCACTGAAACATTATTCACCCAGCCAAAAGGTGAAAACATTCCAAATACCTATCAGCACATGAACAGACAGGAACAGACAAACAAAATGTGGTTTACAAATACAATCAAACAGTTTTCAGGTTTAGGAAGGAAAATTCTAGCATAAACCAGATTTTAAAAGGGCAAGTATCATGGATCTTCAGTTCCAGATTATGAGACTTAGAAATGCTTTCATGGAGTTTAAAGTAGCATTAAAGCTGTAGAAGTCAATGGGATAATGGTGACACCTGTGCTTATAAGTTAATATAAATTAACTCTGTGAATAGGAATGAAGGCCAATTTTTAAAAAGAAAGAAGATGGAAAATTTTAAATACTTATTTTATTAGACTGTTTAAGCAGTACTCAACAGCAAGATCAACTTCGGTGTCACATTATAAAATGGGATGTCTACAACTTTTAGTGATTGCTTTTGCCAGGCCAGAGAGAAGAAAAGAGGCAGGGGAGAATGCAGAGGAGAAAAACAGACCACAAACATATTACTAGGCAGTAAAATAACAATACCCAAGGTCTTGACTTGAAGTCTCACAACTCCTAGAGCTGTCTCCTGAGCCCATCCGCCTTCTCTTGGAAGGCTGAGTCCCATCGTTTGAATTCTCTTCATTATCATCCTATGCATTTAAAGGATTCAAAAATGGCCATGGTTAGAGAAGCGAGAATAAACACCAAAGAAATGAGCTCATGCCCCCAAGTTTTCCAGAAGCCCCCACGAAGGGCAGCGGGGTTGTAACCCTGGAACTGGGCCGGGGGCGGAGGCTCCTTCTCGGAGGGGCTCCTGCCGCGCCTCCTGAGCCAGCGGAGGCGGCTTCGCCCTCGGGTCGGCAGGTCGTTCGTTAGGAGCCCACGGGGCGGGGATGCCCACGGGGCGGGGTGCTCGAGGGACGCCCACCGCGACGCAGGCGCCTGGGGACGCGCTCTCCCCCGGCGGGGCTCGGTGGCCAGCGGACTCGGGGAGGAGCTCAGGCCGGACGGACCCTCCAGGCGCCCACACGGAGGGGGCTGAGCCGCCGCCCGGCGCCGCACAGGCTTGCGGAGGCTTAAGGAGCCCTCGTGTTCACAGCCAGGGCGGCGGGGCCGGGTCTGCCATGGGGGGGGGAGTCTGCCGTCAGGGGCGGGGATCTGCGGTGGGGGGGGGTCTGCCATCGGGGGCGGGGGGTCTGCCGTCGGGGGCGGGGGGTCTGCCGTCGGGGGTC